AGGCTGATATAATGATTTTGTGTGGTTCCATTTTTATTTCATTCTGTCTCGGTTTTGTTTGGTGTTATCTTGTTGGGTTGTATTATAGTAGAAATATGGGATCAGAAATTAGTAAAAAACAAACCGAAAGAGTGTTAAGTAAATTGTTAGAGGAAGGAGACATCTTAGTAAAATCAAGAACAGTCAGGGCATACGTTGATACAATACAAAAATGTAGCCCATGGCTTTTTAAGGAGGAGTTGTTAAATATATCACAATGGAACCATCATGGTGAAGATTTAAAAAGAATAGAAAAAAAAAGCCCAGGAACTCTGCCAGTTGGCACATTGACATTGTGGACGTTGGTATCTGGTTTGCTTAGTCCAAAGCCTTCAGTTCAGACAAAGGTAGAGGAAGGAGAAGACATATTGATTCAAGTAAAAGAGAAGGTCTCTCAAGTTAGTCAGAAAGAGGAAAAGATTCAAGTAAAAGAGAAGGTCTTTCGAGCTAGTCAGATAGAGGAAGAAAGCTTAGAGCAGAAAAAGCCATCAGGGGAAAAATTACAACAGGAGACTGCTACTAACACCTTTCTATCACCAGAGGGCGTAAGTGTCCAACCAACAGCACCACCTCTACAGGAGACTGCTACTATCACCTTTCTATCACCAGAGGGCGTAAGTGTCCAACCAACAGCGCCACCTCCATATGCTGGGAGGCCCCCAACCCCTGCAGTTGATAGTTGGGATCCTGAGACAGGATCTCAAATATTAACATGCCCTGTATTTGAGGCAGGAGGGCAGCAAATTCACCATGCTTTAAATTTCAAAACAGTGAAGCAGCTAAAGAGGCTGTAACAACCTATGGTCCTCAAGCACCCTTCACTGTAAGCATGGTCGAATCCATTAACAACTTGAACATGATGCCAGCAGATTGGGCTAATATGTGTAAAGCTGTGCTAAATGGAGGTCAATACCTGTTAAGGAAGGTTGCCAATGAGGAATTTTGCAAGGAGACGGCTAGGCGAAATGCCGCAGTCTGGCTGGGCACAATTCAGGAGCCACTTGTCAAAAGAAACGAACTTTATTTTTAGAACCACATATGCCAAACAAAACGGCTCCTCAGGAAAAACCTTCAGAGCCCAACTGCCACCACCGGCTTCCCACAAGCCTCTCAACCTCCCCCACTCCTCCTGCTCTTGAGGCCGATTGGCTGGGTCGCGAGGGCAGAGCCAAAAAAAGTCCCCCAATGAGCAGCTCCGTAGTCTGAAAGGGCGGGGAAACAGCCCAATGAGCATCACCACAGAGGAGCCAATCAGCTAGAAGTTGCTGGGGCCGCTGTGAGCCAATCATCAGCTGGCAGTCTGAAAGTTTGCTGGGGCCCCTTCGGCTGAGGCTCTCAACATCTCCCCCTCTCTGTTTAAACAAACCACTGCGCTATAACCCAGTCCCTCTGTCTACTTTTATATGTTTGAAATCTGCAATAGAAAGAAAAGCAACAACAAAAGTGCAAGGTATTCTGAAATAATTTGAATACTATTTTAGCAAATACATCCAAACTAAAGCTATCTTTTATACCTAATAGCCGTTTTGTTACCTTTTTTTTTTTTTTTTTTGTACTGGGGAGTGAATATAGGGGCACTTAACCACTGAGCCACACCCCAGCTCTATATTGTATTTTATTTAGAGACAGGGTCTCACTGAGTTACTTAAGGCCTCACTAAATTGCTGAGGCTGACTTTGAACTGGTGATCTTCCTGCCTTAGCCTCCTGAGCTGCTGGGATTACAGGTATGCACCACCACGCCTAGATCATTTTGTTACTTTTGCATTTCAAAATAGAGGGTTTTCAGTACAAGGAAAGTTTTCAGTACTACATTCAGGAAAAGGATTGCAATGATATATGTTTTTGTGAATAGGCTTATTATCTGAAATACCCCCAGATGTTAGCTGGAATCACCCAGCCTTTTGAGATTCAAATAACACAGACTCACCACCCTTCCACCTGGACAATGGCAGACTCATTACCTCCCCAGTCTTTCTGAGATTATTTTGCCTGGGTGAGAGTAGAAAAGTCACATTAAAAAGTACATATATTTCTCCTTCCCTCAGCCTGAGTTCTTTCTGCTTACTTATTTTGATGAATTGTCATGCTGATCCTTTCTATGTTCTGTTCCCACTCCAGACCAGGCTCTTGAAGTCACCCATTTAGCCTAAGCTTTTTTATTTTCCCCTCCCAAACAAGTTATCTTCTTAATTATTCTGACAGCAGCTAATAAAACTGTTTTTCCCTGATGGCAAAAAAAAAGATCACATGAGTGTAGGGTGTTTAAAGTTATATTCACACCTTGCCAGATTGTACATTACCTATTATTTTATTGTTGTTGTTATACTGGGGATTGAACCCAGGGATGTTTTACCACTGAGCAAAAACTCCAACCCTTTTTAATTGTTTTTATTTTGAGACAGGGTCTCACTAAGTGGCCTCAAACTTTTGATTCTCCTGCCTCAGCCTTCCCAGTTCACTGGGATTACAGGCAGGTGCCTCTGGGTCCAGCTTTCATGGAGTTCTTTTGCTCAGTTCAAAATAGAAAATTACAAAAAGGTAAAAGTACAGCTCTTTTTGATTTACCAGATCTTAGTTTTACTAGTTCAAAGGCTCTTTGACTCAATTTGGAAAAGAAATTGCAGAGGCAAGTAATACCATCTGAACAAGGCTTTATTGGGGTTTTGTGCTTGAGCACAAGGTAGACAGTACATGGTACTAGGTTGCTAGTTAAGAAATATGATATGTCAAGAGCTTTGTAATGTTTCAACAACTAATAATAATAATTTTAAAAAAAGAATACAAGGAGTAAAGTTTATCCAGACCAAAAAACAAAACAAAACAACAACAGGGAGGGGAGGTTACGCAGGCACACAGTCAGCTGTTGCACATGTCAGGATTTCTACACATCTATCTCATCAGTTCTTTGTTTGCACTTGACTTGTTGATTGACACTTCTGCATTGGGTTCCTCTGCACTAGAGGTGCTCACTACCGCCACCCCAAGAAGGTCACATACTGGTCAAGTTCAGGCTTATTTTACTGTGTGTGGACTGTGGGAAAATTTGAGGGAATGGTCATCAGTTCCTAAACTACTGTCATTGGGAGAAACAATATTCTGAAAGTAACTTGCATTAGACAGGAAACCATGGGGGAATCAGGCCCTCCCTGCTGTCAGTTCCTTGCAGTTCACTTCATGATGGACACTTACAGAATAGTAGTGTATCCAATGAATGTTTCCTGGTTTTGTATCTTGTGAAATGTGTCTTTGCATTTTTATTGAGGTAAATAGAAATGTTTATATTTGTATAAATTATAAATATCTTGGGTTTATTACAGTAAAGGCTTTTGTACCAATTGAGAAATTTGGTTCTCAAAACAAGTTGAGAAGAAATCAAGAAAACCTTAAAATGTTAACCAATTTTTTCCCCTAGGTGGAAGTAGGAATGATTTTGGGGTTTGTTGTTGTGGAGGGGGTATGTGTTTTTGTTTGCTGACTTTCTAGTATATTCACAATGAACATATGATGATGGCATATTTTTATGGAAAGATACCCCATTATCTGCTAGATTAAGAACAAGCATCTATCTAGGCCACAAAGGACTGAAGAACAATCAACCAGAGGCCCAATGTGAGTACAAGATGGCACAGAGGAATAGGGTGTGGGGGATTTTGAATCTGATGAGCTGGCCAATAGGCTCTAGGTCACAGAAGGATGACTTTTCTGCCTCAAGCTATTCCCTATGAATAAGCTTCTGGCAACCTGAGATTTGAAACTTTTTCTTGAACTAGTTATGCCTAGTCCTGCTGCCCCCATCAACCTCCCTCGTATACATTCCAGGCATAGTTGGTTTTTTTTTTTTTCCAATACTGGAAATGAAACTCAGGGGTACTTCACCACTGAGCTACATCCCTAGCCTTTTTAATTTATTTTGAAAGAGGGTCTCATTAGTTGCTGAGGCTGCAATCCTCCTGCCTCAGCCTCCTGAGTCACTATGAATAGTTGTGCACCACCACACCTGGCCAAGATTCAATTTAAATTTACTATCATGGTTGGCCACAAGACAGCTATTAGCCAACTCCATAAAGATAGACTGAGTGTTTTGCTCCTGTTACTCTAGTATCTAGCAAAGTACCAGACACATTCTAGGCACTTAAACATCTACCTATCTAAATAGCATGGTTTGAAGCCTCTTGTTCCTTGATGAATCCTTTGCAAGATTCATTTAACTTCCATTTTACCATTAGAGATAAAAATCTTAAAATGCAAATTCTAGATAAAGTTAGCATAGATTGCTATTTTATAGAAGGTATTATCCCTCTATTTAGTATCAATGATTTTTCTATTCTGATAAAGTGTGCCAAGGAAGAAGAGCACATGTGGAAAAACAGATGGCACTGAAGACAGCCCTACTTAGGTTGCCATTTGGGAGCTGACCACAAACTCAACCGTTCATGGATGCTCATGATGGGCCACCATGGAAAGGGAAGCAAAAACCTGTATTCTGAACCAAAGGAGACAAACTAATACTGCTTCCCATAATTTGTGAGTTTTTCAAAAAGGAAAAAAAAAACATTCATATAATTAAAAATTCCAAACACAAGAAAAATATCTCTCCTTATTGCTTTTGACATCTGATTCCCCATTTAGAGGCAACCACATATAATCCAGGTACACATCAATAGGTACATAAATATTCACATTTTTCCCTCCATTACTGGGACTGGACCCAGGGACAGTGTACCATTGAGCTGTATCCCCAGTATCTCTCTCTTTTTAAACATTCTATTACTAAATTGCCTAGGCTGGCTTTATACTTATGATCCTTCTATCTCAGCCTCCAGAGTAACTAGGATTACAGGAGTGCACCACCATATCCAACAAATATTCACACTTTTTAAAACAAAAATGATACTCTGCTTTGTTTTACAAATATAGCTTATTTTATTATAAAGGAACATCATTCTCTGAAAATTAGAATCTGGTAGTTCTAAATTATTTTTATTAATCACTAACAACACAAAAGTAAAGACAATCTTATCATACAATGAAACAAAAATCACACTTAAGCACAAACATAAAAACAAACAACAAGCTCATTTCTCATCCTCAAACTGCTTCTTTTCATTGGTTTCTTCTGTGTCAAAAGTGAATGGTTTGTCATAACCCATTAGATGGTTATAGTCTTCAGGGTTTGGAAAGAGCCCTGGATTAACTAACAATGATTTTGTTTTAGCATAAAATGTGGTAAAAAGATGTGTGCTGTCTGGAATCTTCACATCATTCTGGTGAAATACCGTACTCTTTTCTGAAAGCACAACGCTGTAAGTAATGGCTTTGTAAGTGTCCGTTGTGGCCTCATGGTATAGCCGAATAACATAGCCTTTTGTAACAAAGTGAAGCAGCACTGGAGTGATCACTGTAAAGCTTCCTATGATGCCATAAAATAAGATTTGCAAAGGCAGACTTCCAAATATAATATTATTTTGTGCTAAAATGTATGGTAGAAATGCAAGGCTGAGCATACTTGTAGAATAAGAGAAACATTTCACACCTAAATAGAAAAAGAAAATGGGAGAGGGTTAATACATTTAAATTTTATAAAAGAATCAATCTATCCTAGTAATTCTTCTACCTTTTCTTCCTATATCACCACTGAAACATCAACAAAATCAAAATACAAAATAGTGCTTATTTTATGATGGGCTCTGTCTGAACACTTTACAGACTTTTCATTTTTTATTCATGAAATTCACAGAAAAGCCCTATAAGATGGATGTACAATTGTCATTATCAGCCCATTTAAAAAATACAATTATGTCTGAGGTCATAGCTCATGGTAGAGTACTTGCCTAGTGCATGTGAGGCCCTGGGTTGATCCCCAGAATTGTGAAGAAAATAAATAAGATAAAAAATGAGAAAGATGAGCCACTTCTGCAATGATATATACCTATGAAGTACCTGGACTGGGATTCAAACCCAATCAAGTTGACTCTATAGTCCATACCATTGGCCATTATAATGCACTGCCTCACCAGGTAAGAAATCTGCTTTAGGGTTATATAGCCTCAACCATTAAAAGATTTAATATTCCTCAAAGAACTGTTTTATACTATAAAAGTTGATTCAGACAGCTGGTTTTCAAATAAAACTCTACTAACAAGTAAAACAAAAATTTTTAACATGGGCAATTCTATCAAGCTACTTGCCTCTTCTTCCTGTATCATAAGCATATCATTACACCTGTAATCCCAGCAGACTGGGAGGTTGAGGCAGGAGGATCATGAATTCAAAGCTAGCCTCAGCAAAAGTGAGGCACTAAGCAAGTCAGTGAGACTCTATCTCTAAATAAAATACAAAATAGGTTCGGGGATGTGGCTCAGTGGTCGAGTGCCCCTGAATTCAATCCCCAGCACCATAAATAAATAAATAAATAAACAAACAAAAATACCACTAGGGTTTAAGAAACATATTAGCCTGAGCACCGTAATGCACACCTGTAACCCCAGCTACTTGGAAGGCTGAGGCAGGAAAATTTCTAAGTTAGAGGCCAGTGTCATAAACTTAGCAAGACCCTGTCGTAAGAAAAAAAAAAAGGGCTGGATGTAGCTCAGTGTAGAGCGCCTCCAGGTTTAATTCCAAGTACTGCCAACACAAAACCAAAAATCATACAGTAAGATACTATTTTGGGCTGGGGTTGTGTCTCAGCAGTAGAGCACTCATCTAGCATGTGCAAGGTGCTAGATTCGATCCTTAGCACTACATAAAAAATAAATAAAATAAAGGTATTGTGCCCAACTACGACTAAATATATATATATATATATACATTTTTTTTTTTTAAAGATGCCGTTTTTCCCCAAAATTGGCAAAAGCCTGAAGTTTCACAACATACTACTGGTAAAGCTTTAGCAAAGTAGACACTCTCATACACTGCTGTTGGCTGGAGGCTTAATTATTGTGCATCAGTAATTTAAAAATATTTCCTTCCATCTTCCGACAGGCAGTTTGCCATGACACTGGTACACAAGGGAGAAATGGGGACCAAGTTGCCTCCTATATAGAAAAGTCTCTTCAATCCTTCCAAAACACCTTTTTTCTCTATTACTTTTGTCACACTGTAGTGGGTTAAACAGTTGCCCCACCACCACCACCACATTCATGTCCACCCTGAACTTCAGAATGTGACCTTATTTGAAAATAAGGTCTCTGCAATTTTAAAGATTGAGATGAGATTGTGTTGGACCAGGGTGGGCCCTAAATCCAATGGCAGTGTCCTCCTAAGGACAGAAAATGATGAACAAGGGACAGAGAAAAGGCTGTCATGTGAAGACCAAGGCAGAGAGGAGGTACACAGCTACAAGCAAAGGAATGCTGCGATGCCAGGAGCCGCCAGAAGCTCGAAGAGGCAAGGAAGAATTCTTCCTTGGAGCCTTAAAGAGAGCAAGGCCCAGTCAATACCTTGATTTTATTTCTAGCCTCCAGAACTAGAAAGATAAATTCCTGCCGTTTTTAAATCATCATGGTTTTGGTAATTATGAAAGTCCAAGGAAACTAATACACATGTATACTTTATTTTGTAGGAATGAAGTAATTGCTATTTTCTAAATATATTCTGGCTTTCCCACTTTTGTACCTTTGCTTGTAATACTTCTGAGCCTGGGATTCCCCCCTTTCACAACTCTTCATATTCAAATTTTACTTGTCTTAAAAGATCCAACTGGAATTCCATCTTCCAAGTTCTTTCTGTTATATTCTTCTTCAGTCTTTTTTTTTTTTTTTGAGTTGGGGGTGGTACTGGGGATTATAGTCAGTCACTATCACTGAGCTACATCCACAGCCCTTTTGTTTCATTTGTGGAACTGAGATTGAACCCAGTGGAGCTTTAGCACCAAGTTACATCTCCAGCTCATTAAAATAACTGAGAACTAAAATGTCCTTCAAGCCAGGCACAGTGGCACACGCCTGTAATCCCAGTGACTTGGGAGGCTGAGGCAGGAGGATCAAGAGTTCCAAGCCTGCCGCAGTCCGGCTGCAGCAAACTAACCAGGGGGGACGAATAGCTTGTGTACGTTGATACAGCAGGAGTGGGAGCCGTTTATTGCAGGACAGGAGCAGTATTTATACATTCCACACAGCTTATCTAATTAGCATAAACTCGATACAGCACTGAACCAATAAGAAATCTCCACACTTAATGGCTCGCTTTTGTTACTTTTCAAACCACTCCCTCTGGCATTTTGCCAGGCACCATCCAGACTTGTTTACGAACTTTAACATTCCCCTGGCAAAATGCCAGGTGTTATTTTGACTTGTTTACAGACTCTAACACAAGCCAGCCTTAGAAACTTAGCAACGCCCTAAGAAACTAAGCGAGACTCTGTCTCTAAATAAAATACAAAAAAGAGCTGGAGATGGCTCAGTAGTTAAGTGCCTCTGAGTTCAATCTCCAGTTCCAAAACTAAATAAATAAATAAATAAATTGTCCTTCAAGTGTCAACATTTAGAATTTTAGGAAACCTTCAAGAATGGTACAACAACCTGGCATGATGGTGTATGCCTATAATCCCAGTGAAATGGGACACAGAAGCAAGAGGATCACAAGTTAGAAGCCAGCCTCAGCAATTTAGTGAGACCCTGTCTCAAAATTAAATAAATAAAAATGGCTGGATATGCAGGTTAGTGATGAAGCACCCCTAGGTTTAATCCCCAGTACCAAAAAAAGAATGGTATTACTATCTTAATGTCTCTCCCTCAATTTCCATATAATATTAATCTCAGAGTGACTTCCTACTAATCATAATATTGAAAGAACTCAAATTACAATTCTAATGGATAGTTACACTCTTCCACAAATATTACAACCTACACATACCAAAATTAACTACTGTTTTATGGTTTCCAAAAAAGGAGTCAAGTGGGAACAAAATATAAGTTAATAAGCCTTCCTATATTTGAAGAAATAGCATTCGTATTCAGACAGAAAGATAACACAGGGATCACTGTTAAAACATATCTCAATGACATCAATGTAGGTATCCCGAGACAAGACACTAGACTGAATGATCTATTTATGAATTAACTTCAGAAGAAACTACATAACACTGATTGTTCTACTAACTTTAGAATACTACTCAATTGTGATTATAATCAGTTCTTATTCCTAAAAAGTTCTAAATAATGCAAACTATACTTTGACACCATCATCAAATGTGGGTACTGAAATCTTGTGACCATACTAGGCTATAAATCAATCCTGCAGATATTTCTGATTGTACTTTAAATCATAATATTACTAAGTTTTTCCCACCTGTATTTTGTGCTAAATTATGATCTAAGGAAAGTGCTTTAAACCTGTAGTTATTTAATAGTCTTTTCCTCCTCCACAAGTACTCTCTACCACTTGGGAAAACCACTAAATAAATGTCTCTGTTGCTAATTCTAAGATAATCTGAACAAATGCATAATTTATATAATTTCGAATTACAAAAGCATTACATAGGCTGAGGTTGTGGCTCAGTGGTAGAGTGCTGGCCTAGCATGTATGAGGTACCAGGTTTGATTCTCAGCACCACATATAAGTAAATTAATTAGTTAATTAATTAAAGGTCCAACAACAACTAAAAAATATAAAAAATAAATTTTAAAAAAGAGCATTACATGCTTCCTCCACCACCACCACCTCCAATGCTGGGAATTAAACCAAAGGCCTAAAGCATGGTAAGCAAGCATTCTACCACTGAGGTATGCCCCCCAACCCCATGCTCATTTTAAATGTCAAATTTAGCCACAAAACAAAAATGGAAAGTTCCCCTATTATACTCCCCCCCCAAAAAAATTCTTAGCAGTAATCTTCCACTTTTCTCTGCACATTCAAACATTACACTTTTTGTTATTTGTTAAACATCTTAAGAGAGGACCAAAGAATGGAAGTGTGAATGTCATAAGATCACAAAGTTATAATAAAGCCTTCAAACATATTTTTTAAATCTCTCTAAAATGCAGAGATCTCAACCTCTACATCTTATCAACAGGCTTTAAGGGAAAAATTATCTAATTTTTATGGTTTGTAATTAAGAGATGCTAAAATAATACCCAACATATAAAAATGTTCTTTATAATAAAAGAAAAAAAAAAGGAACCCCCTCATTTTTGATTACCCACCAAATACTGCACGAGCCAGATTCCCAGTATAAATCAGCCTTCCATCTTCTGATTTGTCAAGTTGTGTATGTAAGTATCGAACATACCTATCCCAACAAACAGGTATCTATTGAAACAAGAGACCATTATGAGTACAGATTAAATTGCATCTTGAATCAACTTCTAATTTTTTAAAGGTTATTTTAATAAAAATAATGAAGAGTAGATGAGAATTTGTCAATAAGTTTACAAGAATAATTCTCCCATATAGTCTACAGAGCTAAAGAAATCAAATTGGTTATCAGCGCAACTTTGCTTAAATTCAGTCAAAAGGAGAAGGGTGCTGAGTTGAGAGCTTGGTAGGCTTTCATCCAGTTCTCAGTTTGACCTTAAACAAGTAAAAAGTTAAACAGGATAGTTTCTTAATGAAAACATCATTTTCATTTGATTTAAATGCATTGGTTTTTTTCAGAAACAAAATAAGTAAAATTATTCGGGCACAGTGTCGCACGCCTGTAATCCCAGAGACTAAGGCAGGAGGATCGCAAGTTCAAAGTAAGCCTCAGCATCTTAGTGAGACCTTGTCTCAAAATAAAAAATAAATGTGGCTCAGTGGTAGGAAGGGAGGGAGGGAGGAACGGAAGAGGAGGGGAGGGGAGGAAGGAAGAAAAAGAAGGAAAAGAAATTAATTTTAATACAATAATCTAAGTAAAACACTGCAAATTCTATAGTATACATAGTATTTTTTTAAGAGCAAGTCTTTTCCTAAAGGCCTTGTAAATACTTTGCATTTCTTGTTTCTTAACATGGAAAACATTTGCGAAATCCTTCATCAAATATCACCGAACACAAGAGTTCCCCACACAGTGCCCACACTTCAAAATGTAAGACATGCCCAATTCCTTTATGCTAAAATTCTATTCGATTCTAATCTCTTAGGTAGTTCTACGTTTCAACCAGGCTTGCCAATTTTGACATTTTATAAGTGAAGGAGACAATTTATTTAGATTAAAATTAAAGAATTAATGTACACACCTCATCTTTCTCCTGGGATAAAAGCGGAGCCACCTATGCGGGCTGGGGTTGTGGCTTAGTGGTAAAGCTCTCGCCTAGCACATGCTGAGTTCGAGCCTCAGCACCACATTAAAAATAAATAAATCAATCAAAAGTATATTTATTAAAAAAAAAAAATGAAGCCACCTAGCCTGGGGATGCAGCTTAGTGGTGGTAGAGCACCCGCGAAAGTAAGGTCCTGGGGTTCGATCCCCCATGGGTAGGGGTGAGAGTGGTCAAGCCACTTAATCTAGAAAATAGAACACAGGTTACTCGAATTCTTTCAGTTCAATTTCTAGGTGCTGCATCCAGTTTCTTTACAAATTAACTCTTTCCAGCTTCTGCTTATGAGCAGAAAGGGAGCTAATACCAAATTGTCATCAGAAACCGTCTGGATCAGCAATCACAGGTAGAGAGTTTTGGAACCACCCAGGAAAGAATCCACTCTCCACTTCCCACGGTGCTCCCAGACTCGAGGAGGCAGCTAACCGCGGGACAGAGCCCCGCACAGGAAGGGCTCCTGCCACATTCTAGCCAGCAACAGTCAAGACACCGAGGTCACGGAGAGCCGCGAAAGCTCCCCGGTCCGAACTCTACATCGCCCGAGCCCTCGGACAGCCGACCTGTACTGGCCCAAGACGCCGGAGAAGGGGGTGGGCTCCTTGCAGCCCCGCGCTCCCGCCGACGACCGGCCCCAAGGGCCTGCTGCAGTAGATCGCTCGCGAGACCGCCACACTGGGCCTTCGGAGCATGGCAGCCGCCCACCATGCCATCCTCTTCCCGCCAGGCCTCAGCCCGGCCGCCCACTGGCCGCCCAAAGATAGCAGCAGCATCCCGCGGACGGGAACTGGCGGCGGACTGCTCCGCAGCACAGGCCAACGGCGACCAGACGCTGCTCTTTACAGACTGCAACTTCGGTTTGGGGAGCACGCCTCAACGCGTCGGGACGGACCGGCATCCGCGCGTGCGCAGAATATGAGGCCGGCTTGCAACCTTACCCGCCCCACGGGTTCCGGCCAATTGAGCTGAGAGTTGGGCGCGCTCTCCCCGGGCTCGAGATCTACAAAGCCAATCTGTGACCTGCGTCCCTTTCTTGGGGTTTGACCCTTATTAGAGTAGTGCTGAAGGACAGAGGGGAGAGCCGCATAAGAATGACAAAGCCTGTCCTTCATTCTTTTGGACATCGTTTTCTAGGTCCTAAAAAAATTGTTTGCTTTGAGGAAGTGATTCTTTCTGCTTATGAGCAGAAAGGGAGGAATATGATACGATTTGAACAAAAGTGAATAATTTGATTTAGCCATTGAAATGACAGAAAAACGAGACATGCTCATGTGATATTGATACTTGTTATCAAAATTTTTGTCAGAATCCACATCATATACACAATTGTTCATGACCCATAACATAGATATACATAAATAAATAAATAAATGATTTAATAATATTATTTACAGGATTTAGGTAGAAACAGAATTGAACTCAGGAATCCACGATGTTAACAGTGTAACATAATATGATTGAGATATACTGGTATATAAATCGCTACAGAAAAAGGAGCTCATGATTAATTTGGCCTCATAATGTCTTCAAATCGACTTCACATTCAGCTTTCTTTAAGAAGGATCTGGTAGAAATAACGGTTTACCACTGTTTCAAAACGAGGGCTGTTTTTAGCCGGGCAGGGCACAGGCCTGTAATCCCAGCAGTTTGGGAGATTAAAGAGGTAGGATTGCAAGTTTGGGGTCAGCTTCCACTATTTAGCGGGACCCTCGGCAATTTGAGATCATATTTTATTTTATTTGAGATTTTTTTTTTTTTAATATTTATTTCTTAGTTTTCGGCGGACACAACATCTTTGTATGTGGTGCTGAGGATCAAACCCGGGCCGCACGCATGCCAGGCGAGCGC